CATCGTCTTGGAAACTTGGAAATGAGCTTGTTGTACCTATTTATTCCTTCCTATGGAATAGTTGGACAAATACAAAGGGTATCTACTTACTAGCCAGAGGTGTGGTGATATTTTGTGTATATTCTAACAGATAAAGCTTGCATGAAGATCAGAGGGAAGAGCCAGACAGAGTTAGCCATAGAGGTCACCTTTAATCCTAGTACTCAGGAGGCAGAGGCAGATGGATCTCTGAATTCAAGTCCACCCAGGACTATAGGAGAGTAATCCAGTCTGAAGAAAGAGTAGCATCCAGGCAGCAGTCACACACGCCATTAATCCCAGCACTAGGAAACTTGAGACAGGAAGTGATATGGCTGGGTGAAGACAGGAATATAAGGCTGGAGGAGGCAAGAGTTCAACCCCTTTTGGCTGAGGACTCAGGGTCTTCAGTCTGAGGATTCGTGGAGACAGGATCTTCCCCTTTCGGCTGATGAGTTGTCGAGGTGAGAAGTGGCTATGGCTTGTTTCTCTCTGATCTTTCTGCATTTACCCCAATATATGCCTCCAGGTTTTTATTATAAGACCAATTAGGATTTGTGCAACACAGAGGAACATACCATCTCACTTGGGGCCAACATCTTTGTGGCCACCACTCCTGTCCAGTGAGCTCCAAAGAACTGGCCCCTTATGTATTTATAAACCAACTCACAGACCTTGGCAATGGAGTCTTTATTGCATGCTCCATGAAGGCCTTGAACCTCACAGTTGACATCTATAACATCACCATGGATACTTTGGACTCTGCTTTTTATTCTGCAGAACCTGGTTGTCTGGCTATATTTAATGCTACTAGAATTACAGTTCATTTCTCAGGACAGGTAAACATGTCCAAGATCTCTAGCCTAACACCAAATGGAGGCATAACAGAGGCATGATTTTGACTCATGAACTCTATAGAATAATGAACCCAAAGATGACTTGCTAGGAAAGGCTAGAAAAGCCATTAATGAGAGTTCCACTGTTCTTTCCTTTAACATGCCACAATTACAGTCAATGGATTCTGAGATTGCTAGGGATCTTGAGAACCTGGGAGGACAGATTGACAGAGTCCAATATTTATTACCTGTATTCAAAGCAAACACTATTTCCTATACCCATAGTTAGCAAGCTTAAAAAATGTTCTTTATTCTGCTAGCAATAGTGGAAAGGATGCCTGAAGTGGACATCTCCTGTAATCAGATTGGTGACAGCCCTAATTGTCATCAGAGAGCCTTCATCCAGTAACTTAAGGAAACAGATGAAGAGATCCACAGGCAAGCAGTGGGCCAAGCTCTGGGAATCCTGTTGAAGAGGGGGGGAAGGATTTTAAAAATGCTCTTTATCTTATGTCACTGGTAGGACATTCAGATTTGACTACACTTGCTTCCCCACGTAGGTATTACTCCACTGGAAAAAGGAGAGCTCTTGGCTTTTTGCATGCATCATACTGGCCCTTTGGGCATATAAATTCCTTATGGCTATTTTGGACTTGTTTAAGAAACTTTGTCTTAGGAGGAACTATAGCAATGAGCTCCAGAGACTACTATCACATCAGAAGGAACAAAGCAGCTATGTATGATTCCTGCAAACACATCTGCGCAAACCGTGATTAAAGAAACTTCTTGGCTCATCTCCGTGATGACTCTGTAGGTCAGGAATATTATATTCCAGATTTTCGGTTCTGCCCCACAATGTCACTGTCATTTTTGCCAAAAGAGAAGGTATAGATACATTGGTCATAGACCAGAGATGGATGCCTCTGGAGACTCAACAGACTTCCTGATGCTTCATCATTTGCTTTTTCATATTAACATACAAAAAAACTGAGAAACAACATTGGAAGCTAATTATGAAGCTCACTGGACTCTTGGTTGCTCTTTCCATTAATAAAAGAAGAACCCCCTCTCCCATGGCTATGAACCACATGCTCCTATTGACACTGAACAAGTAAGGACGATGCTCTACTATGATTGGTTGAGCTCCGAGTCCTGCAGCTCCAACCCTGCTATGCCCCCCTTTGAAACACTTTAGACTGAAAGTGATTGCATTTCCTTTTCTTTCTGAATGTGTTCTCAACTTGATGCATAACAAACCTGGAGAAAATATGAATTTGGGGAAATCTCTATGTAACAGAGAGATCATAACAACATCCTGTAATCTATATTGATTTGACCATTTTGCTTAATTATTGTGTGTTTTAGTGCCTGAGATTTATATTCCTGCATTTATTTGTCTATTAGTAATTGGAATATCTATTGTACTCCACAAGGACCAGGAGATGGAATGTAATGAGCATAATATTAAAAGAACATACATGTCTTTTAGACATGTAAAAATAGCTTAGTCAGGAACCCCAATACACCCAAGGCTGTACCTGATAACCAGAACCCCATAATACCACTCATTTAAGATAACCAGACAGTCCTAAGACCCTAGGTCACCCAGTGGACAGTATATAAGCACATACCAAGAACAATGCTTTGCTCTGCACTACTGAAGAGACATCACCTTGATCAGTCTTGCAGCTAGAGCATCTCCCCCAGAATTCTGACCATTGAATCAGAGACTTCTGTTAGAGCCTTCTCATCCCCAGAGAATCCACACTCACTAAGGATCAGAGGCCAAGGGCCACTGCCCAGGTCACTACAGGAACAAACAAAAACAGTCTGGCTTATGGTCCATCCCAGTCTCAGCAGCTCAGACTCTGAAGCTCAGCCAACCCGCTCTTCATAGGTTGAGGACAGTGGCCCCCACACTCACCATACCATGGCTGTGGTCTTCCTTACAGCCCCCTACAGCAGAAGTAGAAGAGAATCCTGGAAATAACCTGTAAGCTCCCTCCCAGTGGTGCTCCTGATGGCTAAGCCTTCCCAAAGCTCCTCATTAGTTAGGACCACCCAGTTGGACCTCAGGACATTAGCAGTTACCCTATTGGATAAGCTGAGATCAAATGTCTCAAACTGCACAAACCCTCCCAGCTCTGCCCTTCAACAGCAGGGTCAGACGAGACACTAGTCTGGGAAATTTGTAGTTTAATAAATAGAATCTTCCATTCTCCAGAGCACTTCCTGTTCCACTTCCAAGGCACAGAGTCCTTTGCATGCATATTCCATTACACACTCAATGCCCAGTGAAGCCAACCCTTTGCTTCAGAGCTGGGAGGTCCTGCACCCAAACACAGGTCACATTCAAACAGTAACTGTTGTTAAAGCAGAAACAGGTCATGGATTAGAACACAATGAAGGGTCTATGGTAGGGCTTGGAGCCAGAAAAGTGATAGTGGAAATGGGGTAATTATAATCCAAAAAATTATGTTGGAAAGTTGAAACAGGCTTTATGGCCATGTGCTCCAGAGACTAGGGATGTGTACTAGAGCACACTAAGTACTACTCATGCATTTCTCCCAGGCAGTACATCTTAAACCTGGAAAAGAGTCATGTTAGGCAGGACCACACCACTTTATCCATTTCTTCTATTTAAGTTAATTGGTATAACTACTGTAATTTTATTTCACAAAGATTCAGTTCTTTACCCAGATTCTTGATGGTCTGGTCTGTGGAACAGAGAAATGGCCAGTCAGGACATCTATGGAATGTCTAAAATGGATGACCTCACTACTCATTGCTACTGTCAACTCCTGTCACAGCAGGAAAGCTTTCACCTCCTTCTTGCCATCCCTTTCTGTGCTGTGACTACACCTGCTTTACTGTGGGTCAGTGAACTCTCTAGATTTCACTGTGAAATTACAGATGAAGTGGCTGGTTAATCCTGAGGAAAACATTTAAATCTTATGATACTAACCTCTAAAAACATGGTAAGTGAGGAACCCAATCCCCTACCTAGACCCCTGCCTTGGCTATTCTGCAGCCATGACAGGCTTCAGAAAAGACCCAACAGGATGTAGGCTCCTGGAACAGCACAATTTGCCCTTGAGCCCCCAACCTTGGGTCTACCTCTAGTTACAGGAAAACCCCTTCAGATGTCCCCATATAGTAGAAGAAGCCAATTAAAAGTTACAGCTAGTAGATTCATGATAAAGAAAAAATGGAGTTACCACAGCAACCACTGAAAGAGCTAGTAGTTTTCCTGTAGCTGCAAGTTAACCAAGGACAGCAACTCTGGATGGGACGGTCATCAATCCTGAGTCTGTTCCTAAGTAGTCTGTAGACCCCAACACCCCTCTTGCTTTACCCAATAAAAACTCTGCCCCTTGCTGCTCAGGGTCTCTCCTGCTCTGCTGCTGCATCAGGTGAATGGAGAGGCCCTAGTTAACTAGCAAGAATAAAAAGACTCTGCTTTTGCATCGAATTTGGTCTCTTGATGGTCCTTTGGGAACTCTGGGTACATCAGCAAGAGTACTACTTATCTTCGGGATATCTGGGAAACAGCCCTCTCTTAGCTTAATTCTACTTTGTGACTTAATGTCTCCTAAAAATGGGTAAATCCTTATACCGTCAATTCTATTTCCTTCGTTCTACTCTTCTACATCACAGTTTAGCAGTGGAGTGCTACTCTACACAGGAGATGTCCTTTACATGCTCCACGAGATTAACAACAGACAAATCGTAACCTAAATGTTAAAAGTGCAGAACTTCGGAAAGATACTAGAGAGACCAGGGCTTTCCAAGTTTGGCAAATCTGCCTTCCAAGGTGACAATACAAGCACTACAGGAGCCAGCATTTCATAGTGACATCAACAATAAGAGTATTTCTAAGTCTTGTTCCCAATGCTCTGCACAGACACAGCCCAAGGAGTGAAGTTATTCAGAGACTGCTGCCCCAGCCCAGGAAGTTGCAAGGATCATGTAGGACACGCAGGACCAGGAAGGCACACGTGGGACTCGCAGGGCCACACAGGACGAGGCATCACCATGCCGAACTCTGTGTCTGGCTGCTGACTCCCACGCAGCCCCGAGAGAACCCGGCTCCCACGGCTCAGATAGCCTCTCCTCCCAGTCTGGGGAAAGTAGTCTGTCACTCACCATGGCCGGCCACTCCTCCCGTCTGGGAACAGAAGCCCCTCGATCTCCCTGTGGGGACTGCGGAGCGCTCTAGACACAGCAGATCCCAGACCCCACCGCACAGTACACCGGCCAGCTTCCCATTTCCTCAGCATAGGAGCTGAGCCAGATGCCTCCTGCCTAGAGGAAGAACCCTACCATCTGACTGGCAGGTCCACTGGAGGCCCTAATAGGCTAGCGAGGCCTGAGTGACAGGACTGGGTGAGCTGAAGGGACTCAGCTCAGTGTTTCCCTGCCCTAGCTTCCAACTGAAGCACAAATGTATCCCAGGTTGGCTGAAAATTTGCGCCAACTTCCACAGAAAGTCTCTAGTTAATAAAAAGTAAATGAATAAATAAATAAATAATAATAATAATAATAATAATAATAATAATAATAATAATAATAATAAATAAATAACAACAAAAAAAAAAACCGAGTACAGTTTGAAAGGGAAGCATTCCATTTCAGAAGGAGGCTAATCTGACAATATTGCACAAGAGGAACATGGTATCTCTAGAACATTATTAAAAAAAAGTCCACAGTGGCTGGAACCAATTACCACAGCCCCAGGTGTGGAAAGAGATGGTTCTCAGGATCTGAAGTAACCCCTTCCCAAAGGCCCTGGTCCCAGACTTTTACCAGCTCTCCCGAGCATACTGCTAGTTTTAGAGAAGGAACGTTTTTTCCCCCTCTGTGGGAGCCCGTTTTCAGGTTCCTTGTGGCTTTACCCAGCAGGTCCACATAGAGGATAATTATGGCCACTGGCTTGAGTGCAGGTGTTTGAGAAGGTCTGTACTTGGCTGGGCTGGGGGAGGAGGTCTTTTGCTCCACCCCTTGGCATCTCTATAAATACCCTGGGCAGAGACAGTCAGGGCCCATTGAAAAAGGTTCCAGGCCCTTTTGAGGCTATCCTTTATTTTCTATCTGTTTATCTCTGCAATAAATCCTTCTATCTAATATTTCCTGCTGTTCGCACTCAAGAAAATTCTGGGGAATTGTGGGGTTGGTGGGTAAACGCCCCACACTCCTCCCTATACATCAGGGCCTTAGAGAAACCTCCCAAAGACTACCCAGGTTGGAAAACTGAGAGAGGCATAATTTGTCAAGTATCTTCTAGAAGTTCTGCACTTTGAATTTGACATTTATGTGTAAGATCCACTTGGAGTTAATATTGTGGAGATTACAAATGGCATCTCATGTACTGGGTAGCACTCCTCTACTGAGCTGTGATGTAGAAGAGTAGAATTGGTGATATAAAGGATTTAGCAATTCTTGGGGCATAGTAAATCATACAAAGTGGAATTTAGCTGGCGGGTGGGTTCTGCCTCTAAAAGACCCAAAGCCAAGTAGTATGTAAACCAGGCCTGTTACAGAATAAGATGCTAGGATGTAATAGTTTGTTCAGCTTTTATGTAGAGTGGTCACATGTCTATACATGTGCTAATGGGATGTGCATCAATGGAGAGAGGATAGAGAGAACCTTCTGTATAAAGATCCCTCCATACTAAGCTGGAACATCATAGTTTTAAGAGGGATTTCTTAATTGCTCTGTACTGGACACTGGACACATCTATTCAATGATGTTTGGTCATGTATTTGCTGTTTCTTTGTATTGCCTACATATACTCATTAAAATCTAAAAATCAAAAGCATGGTTTTAGTAGTGATTCCATGTATTATATATGAAGACTGCCTTGTGTTTTCTCTAAGGTTCAGTTTAACAGATTGTACCTAGGAAGTACTATTTATTACATTATCTTATACACAGTTTCTATTCAGCTTTCTTTTGTTTGATTCTTGTTGCTCAGCACTATCTAACGATACTTCTTTAATACTGACTAATAAGGCACTTCTTTAATACTGGTTATGTTTTCTGAGATTCCTATTTTAATACCTCTGCTTCCAATAACTTGTACAGGGTAAACTATTATTTTTTGCATTTTATCATTTGCCCAAGAAAAAGCCATACCGTTATTAATTCCAAGGCATCCTGGTGTATTATTTGTTATTCATGACCAAACATATTTGAATCAGAAGCCTTATTGTAATGAGCATAGTAAAAACATACATATCCTTTAGACAGGTAAAAATAGTTTAGTCAGGAACCCCACTACAACTAACCAGAATTCAATCACATTACTCAAGATAACAGTCCTAGAACCCCATGATGCCCACTGGACAGTACATAAGCAGAAACAAAGAGTAATGTTTGGCTCTCCACATCTGGAGGTCTGCACTGTGGCTGGAGAGTCTCACCCAGGATCCTGACCTCCAATCAGAGACTTCTGTCACTGGACCTAACCTTCAGATAAGATCCACTGCACACAGCCCTAGGGAGATAGGCTTAGGACCATAGTTGGGAATTCAGACAGTGAACCTTGTGTGATGGCCATCAGCATAATAAAGTATAACATTTGTTATACTAACTATGCACATCCACCTTCTTGTTCATTACGTTTCTCTTTTCCCCACTTCCTCTCCAGCATTTGTTGTCAGTTGATTAGTGGGTCTTTGCCTTTCTGACTGCAATTACCACAATTCTTACCTAGAGACCAAAACCTGTTCCTATTTCTAAAAGAGGAACAATTTATAATATCAACAACCTCCATCATTCTATTATGACCAATATAAATAGTTTTTAAAATACAAAACAGCAAATGCCTGAAAACAACAGTTATGAGTTCCTCTGCCTAAAAACTGCAGTTTTATCTAGGAGCTCACCTATGAAGATTAGTGTGGCTACCCAGGAACATTCAAATCACAAGCAACTTCTGCCTCTGAGCTCCCTGCTCCCTTTTTTAGCATTTGAATGGGGTATCTGACTTTTGCGAATATCCCCTTTAGCTACATCTAAAGACAAGACCAGCTCCAAACAAAGCATTGAAGGACAAGCAAGGAACAGAATAGTGGACCAGACCACCTGCTAGGCGTCTGAAGCCCCTAAACTAAGGTGAAACATCCTTTGTAGACAACCTGGCTCCTGGCCAAGTGCCTGGCTCCTAGGTGCACAGCTTTACTTCTGGTGCAAATCAAGTCAGATCTCCCCTCACTGCCCCACAGCAACTTCCTAGAATAAAGGGTTTTCTACTCACCAGGTGCTTCAAGCTGTGATGCAGATTGACTGGCTGTCAACACTCCTCCCCGGCCCTGTCAAAAAACTGGAGGCATAGGAAGATAGAGGCAGTTTTATTTTTAGTGACTTAGAGATTTCTTTACCTCATCACCTGTAAGTTCGTAGTTTGAGCACATTCACCTAACCACATATGAGGATATATTTATAGCCCAGAAATTCCTTTTCTGATTTATTCCAGCTTCTACCTAACTCTTTTTTCTCCCCCTTTGGGTTGCAAAGGAAGTTAACCAGGAAGCTTCTGGTGGGGACCTTGCAATTCTTGTGTTATATTGTAAACATGAAGGTTGTTGCCATTTTTGGAGAGATATAGACCGGACACCAGAGAACCAGGCAGAATTATGGTGGCAGGCGAATAAACGAGTTGGACGAAAGAGCTCCATGTATCTAGATTCTTTTCCTCGCCATTATTTATGTCTCTTCTAGGTCCCTGGGAGGGAAATTAAGAGGCTGGACCTCAAAATTTTCATTATGCAAGATTTCGGGTAGAGGAGAAAACATGATCAGTAGGCATACTAGCATAATATTGGGGGAAGGAATCTAACGAGAATCTATCCCTAGACAAAGTATTACAGGAAATTATTGATAATTGAGAGAAGGAGGATTATTCTGGTTATCCAAAAAAAGTGGTCTGCCCTGAAATCATATAAGTACATGAAATACCAGATGGACTCCGCAGCTTATATTTAAATACTTATGTGCATAGACATATAAAATAAATGCAATAATATTAACAACAACAACAACAACAAAAATAAGAGACAATCAATTTGAGATGGAGTAACTGGGGAGCATGAAGTGATTGGAAAGAGGAAGGAAAAGAGAGCTGTAATGGGTTTATCTTTTAAATATTTATCATGAGGCATAGAACTAAATAGGGAATTCTCAAAAAATAAAATACAAACTGCTAACAAAAAATTAAGAATGTTTAACATACTTAGCTATTGAGGAAATGCTAATTACACCTTCTTTTTAACTTCATATCACCCCAGCAGAATGCCTAAGGTGAAAAAACAAAAAACAAAAAAATGACACATGCTGTCATTGATAAGAGGAAAAAGAACTCCATTTCAAGTCTTGAGGAAATGCAAACTGGTACAACAATTTTAAAAATCAGTATGGAGGTTATTCAAAAAGGTCACTCTAGATATGCCATACGACCCAGCTGTAGCTGGATTTTCTCCAGTCCTCCCTGGCCCACAGTCAGGACAAATATCTCTCACCGCCAGTCCCACAGCCACTTAGACCCAACTGAGTAAACACACAGAGACTTATATTGCTTACAAACTGTATGGCTGCACAAGGCTTCTTGTTATCTAGTTCTTATATCTTAAATTAACCCATATCTATTAGTCTATAAGTTGCCATGTAGCTCGTGGCTTACCAGTACCTTACATCTTGCTTTTCATGGTGGCATCTGGCTGCAGCTCTCTGACACAGCCTTCCACTTCCCAGAATTCTCCTCTCTCCTTGTCGCTCCTATACTTCCTGCCTGGCTACTGGCCAATCAGTATTTTATTTATTATCCAATCAGAGCAACACATTTAAAAACAAAACATCCCACAGCAGTACCATGTTCATTGTGATTATATTTACAATAGCCAGGAAATGGAAGCACTCTAGTGTAGATGTAGCCAACTGTCTTATTAAATAAGAAACACAGAGCTGATTCAGAGAAGAAAGCCAAGAGGTCAGAACTAAGAGCCTTACCCTTCCTGCTTCAGCCAAGAGAGCTCTCTGAAAGGGACCTACTTCCTGTGTGTATGTCTTTATATAGTCTTTCTGTTCTTTCTGTTCTGCCTTCTCATTGGTTGTAAACCCAAACACATGACTGCCTCATCACTGCCTGTCTGTAGAGACTTCCAGGTCTTCTATGGTTGGGATTGAGATTAAAGGCGTGTGTCTCCAATGGTGGCTGTATCCTTTTACACACAGAGATCTACCTAGCTCTGTCTACCAAGTGCTGGGATTAAAGGCGTGTGCCACCACCACCACCACGCTCTTGCTATGGCTCTAATAGCTCTGACCCCCGGCAACTTAATTTATTAACATACAATTAAAATCACATTTCAGTACAAGTAAAATATCACCATATCCTAGATTTGCATCAACTGATAAATGAATAATGAAAATTGTTAGAGTCATACAGGATAATGTTATTCAGATATGGAGAAAAGTGAA